AGTGATCTTGCTGAGGGTTGGACTGGATGCTGCTCTCGTGTTTATAGTCTGTTAACGCTACATGTACAAACCTGTCTAACCTACGTGTCCCTCTCGCTGTAGTTCTGTGCAGGTTTTCCAGTGGCCAAGTCACATGACTGACGATCTGATGGGAGACTCTGAAGCTCCAGAGGCCGACAGGTAAAATAAAACACTTTACATCTACATTCACATACGAGCCTTTCCAGTCGATAAATGAGTTCACGTCAAAACATTGAGTAAGTTCCTGTCGTTAATTTTGCTTTAATAAAACTGTGACGTGACAAATTCTGAGTCACCTTTTTGTTTTTAGGATTATTATCGAACACTTTCCAGCCGGTGCCACCTTTGTGAGAGGTTTGTTGTTTCATGTGTCTTCTGTTGTGTTTTCTACAGCCTTGAAAAGCAAGAAGAGGACGACTAAGGACATCAAACCAAAGTCGCAAAGAGATTCGTAACACCACCTGATTGTCTTAAAAGTGTTTAATAACTGGAAGACTTTCTGAAGAGGACATCGCGGTTTAACGTCGAGGTGGTTTTAAATGGAACAACCTGCCGGTGTCCACGTAAAGTTTCTTCTGTTCGCATGGTCACACTAAAGAGAACAGAGGGAACCTTTAACATCACGTTTATAGCGTTTTTTATTATCACTATTATTATTTTGTATGTCGTAGAGCTTTACACTTTCCAGCAGATGCCTTCAGTGACTCTAATGGTGGAATGACTGTTGCAAAAAGAAAGAAAAAAACAAAACATGAAAATATATATATTTGGAGTCCCTTTCAACACTGATCAAGTTTTTTTAATCTTTGGATGCATTAAAGTTGTAGCGTGACATGTTTAAATTAACTTAATTCTCATCATGTTGTCAAACTAAACATCGAACAGCTTTAATATTTAATATCTAATATTTATTGGTTTCTCCGACCACAGTCCACAGTTTAAACTTCTGTTTAATTACTAATTATCTGTGATGTTTTTTTTTCTGTCAGTTCTTGAGAAGTTGATGTAAAATCCACTACTTTGCTTCCTCTTTGTCGTTCTTGTAAAATTAAAAATATACAACATCAAAAAAAGACATTTCAACAAAGTTCTGTGCTGTTATTTTGAAATCTGACACTGATTTAAAATTTTTATTTATTTATTTATTTATTTAACTGCAGATGACACTAAAAATAAATCTGCAATTTTAAAGAGTTTTTCATTTTTGTTTAAGATTTTTTTTTCCCCCGTATTTTTTTGAAACACACACAAAAGCAATTAATTACAAAAATAGACAATTAATGTAAATTAACATTAAAAACCTGTGACAGTGAGTAGCCGTAAAAAATTTGTATTTTCTTTAAAGAAAACATTTTCTTCTTTGTTCATTTCACAAATCTTTCTTTTTATGTGATAGACTGGTTACCTGTCCAGGTGAGCCTGCCTTCACCCTTCGTCAGCTGGGATAGGCTCCGCCCCCCTCGACCTTAGAGAGGATTAAGGTGTAGAGATGATGGATGGATTTCTATAGTTTGTGAAAATGTAAATATCCATCCATCCATCATCTCTACACCTTAATCCTCACTATGGGGGGCTGGAGTCTATCCCAGCTGACTCAGGGTGAAGGCAGGTTCACCTGGACAGGTAACCAGTCTATCACAGGGCTACACTTAGAGACAGACAACCAAGCACACTCACATTCACACCTACGGACAATTTAGAATCACCAATTAACCTCAACATGTTTTTGGACTGTGTGGGAGGAAGCCGGAGAACCCGGAGAGAACCCACGCTGCACGAGGAGAACATGGAGACTCCAGAAAGATTCTGGTGCCCCCACCGGGACGCGAACCGGCGACCTTCTTGCTGCGAGGCAACAGTGCTACCAACTGCGCCACCATGCAGCCCAAAATGTAAATATATTTTTGTTAAATATAAAGAGAAAACCCCAACCTGATGTAAAACACGGCTGGAGAATTCATTTTAAAGTACTTTGGAGTCTCCACACTCTGGATTATTGTTCATGTTACAGTTACCTGAACAAATCGAGTCCGTCGGCCAAGTCTGTGGGCAGTGATGATAAATTTACCTGCATAATAAATGTGACATTTTGCCACTAAATCCCCCAATCAAAGGAGTGTGTTCTGGTCTCACCTGCAGCCTGAATCCTCCTGAAGACTCGTCTGGAGGCATCTGGACATCCATTCAAAGCCCTGTGACTGTCTCAGAGTCAACGGGATGCAAACAGTGATCACAGAAACAAAAAACCACACCAAGAACAAGAACTGATCAGTGCACTTGAACTCTTTAATTAAATTAAACCTGAAAATAAAGTTGCATAGAACCGAGCTGCTGCTGCTGCGTGAATCTCCTGCTGGCTGAAGTCAGAGTGAAGCCGAAGCTTTGAGGCGAGCAGCTCCACCTACACCTGCTTTAATACGTTACTTCTGCACACAAATACAGTAGAAAACCTCACATGTACCAAAACCTGCTGCTTTAACAACATCATACATTCAAAACCTCAACAGAGACAAAAACAAACACGAACAAGAGGCTCAGTCCATTAAAAACCCATCAGGTCTCCTCAGAACCATCTGGTTCTGCGTCTGCAGTAACCTTATTTAACGATCAGAGTTCTACCTTCTGACACCAGATCAGTTCCATCCAGGTGTCTCAGTCTGAACACCGGACCTGGTTCTGTTCATGTCCTCTGTCAGCAGCTGGTAGCATCAGTATTATGGGATGTCTCATGGTGGTAACAGTCAGACTGCAGCAGTTTAACGTCTGTGACACAGAGTCATAGAAACAACCATCGGTACCCTGAATGTGGTTCTGGTTCTGATCAGTCACCAGAGGAAACTTTACAAAGTGCATTCTGGGTAAACTTTCCAGGCTCATATCAGCGTGTGTGATGGTGGTTGGTCAGAACAAGTTCTAGACAATGGAAGGACCATTTTACCTCCAGAACCTACCAGAACCATCTGTAGACAAAATGTTCAATATGACTTGAAATTGACCCAAACGGACACAAAACGACTGTAATGTCACAAACTGCCCACAAATGTTCCCGAAGTTACTAAAAATGTGTTCCTAAGGCCTCATAATTGTCCCAGATAGTAAAAAAAAATCAAAATATATGTAAACAATAACAAAAACATGATCCAAAGTCTAACGTCATGTGTCTGCTGCACTGATGAAGTTCTGAGGCTCAGAAATAATTTTAAAAAGTCCACTAAAGTGATCAATCTGGACCCTCCTCTGTGGACTTCAAGGACCTGGAACTCTGGAACATTCACAGTCTGAAGGCAGAACTCTGGTCAGCAGATAAAGGTGCTGCAGATACAGAACCAGCTGATTTTAAATGGACTCGGGACCGATGGAGGACATGAACCGGTGAACTGTGGACCGGCGGCTGCAGCAGAACCCCTTGGAGGCACGTCAGTGGAGCCGTGGAGGTCTGAAGGCGTCAGAGGCGTCGCTGCCCTCGACTCCGTCTGCCATGAAGAACCTGGAACGGCAGATTCAAGGTGAGCAGCGCCGATGGACTCTCTGAGGCTGTTCTCAGGTTGATTCGATTCGATTTAGGTTCTTGAACAGAACGGAACAGACGTGCTGTTCTGTTTCAGGCTCCGTTAGTCCCTACAACACATTTATTAGATATTTAATACGATACAAACTGCAGGTTTTTGTTTTAGCAACTGACTGTTGTTCATGCATCATATTTGAAAAAGTAATAAATAAAGAAAATGAACAAATGAAATGAAGTAGAAACCCTTTGGCGTTGTTTACGGTGGGATTTTATCTGAGTAATTTACATTTTAGGGATTAAAACCCTACAAAATGCTATAAAACACTCCTTCACCTGCCTGTCAGACACATGAGGGCTGAACCGCTGCAGTTTTGCTAATCACCAAACATAACTTTTATTTGATTTTTATTTGGCTGTGCTGTATTTCATATTAAATACTGGGCTGAAGACGCCACACTTAGATTCATGGTGTGAATTTAACTGATGATCAACATGTAAAGAAGCAAAGTCCTCCTAGAACTGTATAAAACACTGCGTCACCCCCGTTCACTACATATTAAACGCAGTAATTCGGAGTCGTGCTGCAGGAAGACGAACCTTCGGGGTTTCCGGGCTGCCGAACGGCGACAGCTCCACCGAGTTCTCCTTGTCGGAGGAGCTGTTGAGCCGATGCTGAGCGAACTTCCTCTTCAGAGCGTCAGCGATGAGAGCCGCCGGGTCGCTGAGCAGAGCCGGAGCTCCTTTACTGCGCCGCCGCCGGACCGGAGTTCCTCCTGGAGACCTGGGACAAGAACAGGACGGAACAGAACATAAAACCTGCTGCTGGCTCGGAAAACAGGCCGTCTTCAGGAATCACGTTTCACAGTAAAATTTAACTGAAGTGTGATATTTGATCAAAACCACTTTATTCCACATGACCAGACTGTCCAGACTGACTGGTAATATCTGCCGCATGAGGCTTTGTTGTAGTATCATAGTTAAAGAAGCTGAACTTTTCTGAGTTCTCTCTCCTCCTTCATGAGGTTCTGGTTCCACAGAGCTGCAGGACTTTATGCTGAAACAAGAACCTCAGTGAAGGAAAACAAGATGGAGCAAAACAAAGAGGCTGAAAACACACATCGTCTCTGAGTGCTGAGGTTTGGGCGACCTGAGCAGATTTGTGCAGCATGAAGGAATAAAATGAACTCTGATGAACTCTGAGGAACTCTGAGGAACTCTGAGGAACTCTCACCTCTCCACCGAGCGGAGCTTGACCTGGTTCAGGTCCTTCAGGACGTCCAGCATGGAGGGAAGCTGCTTCTTCTGCTGCTGCTCCGGCTGATCGCCGTCCTTCTTCCTGCGCTGCTGGATGAGTTTTATTACAGAGGAGTCGGAGGAGGAGTCGGGGCATGGAGGAGGAAGAGGAGGAGGAGGAGGAGGAGGAGGGGGAGGAGGACGAGGACCAGGTGTGGAGGTCAGAGCTGGAACTGGAGGCCTTACAGGGGAACTCTGGGACTCGGTTGGACCTGAAACACGTAGAAAGACTCAGACTTAGGGACTGGACAGGTGAGTCAACGGGAGCTGGCGGTCAGGTGACCTACCTGAGGGCGGAGCTTCGGTGACTATCATCGCTATCTGAGCTCTCAGCTTGAGCAGCTCGTTCTCCAGAGCGGAGATCTTCTTCAGAGCGTCCGGATTGGCTGCCGTCCTGGCAGGTCGCCCTGCTCTCTGGACTCTGTTCACCGCCGGGCGTCTGACAGCGTTGCCGCTCTTCTCTGGAGGTAAATGATTCCTGAAACACACATTCCACATCTTCATCTCCAACATCTGCAGGTTTTTCTTGCTCAGAACCAGACTCTGGGGCTTCACCTGATCAGTAAACTGCACCTCAGCCTTACAGCCAGACCAGCAGCTGAAGTGTATCGTTATGCAGACGACACCGTTTTCTATTCAGCTGACTTTTAACAACTGAATGGTTTAAAGTTGGTTCTGAACGCTAAAAAAAAACTAATGTTTTCCAGATCTCACACATTGCTGACATTCAGATGTTACGGACTTACCTGAACAATATCTGTTCTTAGTCAGACCAGTCTGCAGTAAAGCGACAGAACTCTGCATGTTCCTGATATTTCTGACTATTTGATGGTTACGTTGGTCATTTTCCATTTAACTGTGTTTATTTTGCATCGTTTTTATTGTTCAGTGAGACTTTGCAGCCAAAAGTCCGTTTGTGTGTCTGACAGGTTGTTTTATCTCTTTTTTCTTTGGATTTGCTTCTGTTTCTATTCATTTTTTTGTCTCCTTTTGTAAATTTCAATCTCTTTCGGGTCATTTCGTGTCTTTGCAGTCATTTTGCATTTATTTCTGCTCATTTTTCATCCTTACGTCCAACACCTGCAGGGTTTCAGGGTTTAATCAGCAGCGTTCAGGTCAGTCTGCCGTAACCGACAGAACTCTGCTTCTTCCTGATGTTTCTGTTTTGATCGAAAAACAAGAAAACAGAAAATCCCAGTTCCAGGTTTTTCTTCTGTGTCCGCTTGTGTGTTTTTTTTTTTACCTGGTTCTGGCGAAGCTTTCGCCTTCGTCCTCAAACACCCACATGACGTCAGCAAACGATGGGATGGCTGGCGTTTCCACGGTGACGTCGACGTATCCGTGAGGTCTGTAGGTGACCAGAGGGATCTGAGGAGGATCACAGTGTTCATGAAGTTCTGAACGGCAGGTTTCCTGCTATCACAGGCTGTTGATATATAACATTTAATATATATTGATTCCAAATATCGGTTATTGGTCTTTCTTCATTCTTAATAACTGGTAAAAAAGAAAAAAACTAACTTATATAGATTGAAACGCAGACGATAAATAAATAACAACTACTTTTTTTGTAGTGATGCCATCAGTGTGAGGATATACATCTCATAAATATTTAGCAAATTATGATTATTTATTATTATTATTGTTTATCAATTAATCTTCCTATAATATTTTTCCAATACGTTATTTGTCAAGTGAGGATTTCTGAAGTCTTTAAATATCTTTTTAGTTCGATCGACGTTCAGAATCCAATAACTTAACTTAGTTTACAATCATTAGCGACAAAGAAAAGCAAATATTTGACAGTTTTCCTTAAAAAAAAAAAAAAAAAAGACCAAAAACTTGATTCAATCATCAAACAAGCCTTCATTGATCGACTAATTGATTAATAGATTCTCAGTCATCCAGTTCATAACAACACTAGAAGCTTCAGATTAAAGCAACTGGACTTTAGGAACCAGAAACACAAGTCCAGCTGCTTTTTACTGAAGCTCCTCGTAGCTCTACGTTGGCTCGTAGCACATTAATTAAATTAACAAATGAAAACTTTGCCTCATGTTTCGGTACACTAATGAATCTGTTTAAATCAGATTTTACTTTGGCAGCTGTGCAGCACAAACTAACAGCTGCATTTAATCAGCTATAATGAGGAATCCGTAACCTGATAGACGCAGCTTCACGTTACCTGGAAGTGGACTCGTGGTGTTGGAGTCAGCGGGAGGTTCGACCCGATCATTCGTACGATGCTGCGGTACTGACCGCTCAGCTGACTGTCCCACACCGGAACCAGCTGCAAGAACAACACAGAAACACAACGTCCGCTGAGAGTCTTCAGAGATTCAGGCGGTCAGGAAGTAAAACCAGTTGGTAAACTGCTCAGCTGCAGCGAGTCTCACAACCAGAGCAGCAGCTGAAGTGCGTCGCTATGCAGACGACACCGTTTTGTATTCAGCTGCAGGATTTAAAGTTGGTTCTGAACGCTAAAAAAAACTAATTTATGACGTTTTCCAGACTGAGCTTGTTCAGATCTCACACACTGCCGACATTCAGATGTCATGGATGGACTTAATTGAACAACATCTTTGAACAGGTTTGTGGCCATGCTGGTGGATGACAGGATCTCTGTTTTGGTGCATATCGAACAAAAATTAAAAATTACGTTGGGATTTATTCACTATAACAGGACCTGGCTGAATTATCAGAGAGGAAAACGCTGGTACAGGCTTCATTCTGATTAATAAATCATCTGACTGTCCAGGACAGCGATGGTTTATTATTATTATAAACAGATCAGTATGGAGTAAACTTCCTTCTTATCTGAGTATTTTTTCCATCACTTACAGCCGCTACATATAGAAGAACCTCAACACTATCATCAGTATTTGTGTAAATTTGTTGTTATTTATATTTTTTCTTTTAATTACATTTTTGCATTACGTCCCCAAAAGTTCCAGTTAATCAGCTGCAGATGAATCATGCTGTGAGCTCGTCACAGCTGGATTTATTTTACTGTGATATTTATTGTTTTATTGTTATTACTGTTCCTACATTTGTGCATTTTCTCCCTTTTGCTGCTGTAGCTCCCCAAATGTTAATCAGCTGCAAATTTGTTCATTAAAGTGTAAATATTCTTCTGTCATGTCAAGTTTGGATTTTCTAAACGGGGCATTTTTCCGTTTTACAGCGAGATATCTGTAGCGGGGACATTTCTGTAATATATAAGAAGAACATTAATGATTCATTTATACATGTACTTTTAAAAACAAAGGTTAAAAAAATGCTTTGACAGACAAAGAAAACGACCCTGAAGTTAAAACAAACAAATAATAAACAAAGCAAAATGTCAATATTAATAATAAATAGAAATAAAGTAATTAAAGCAGTGAAACCCTAAAAGTCACCAACGTCTGTTCTGCTCTGGTTCTGAATAACCTTCAGATTAAACTGCAGCTCTGTGATTCTGTCTCAGAGTTCAGAGGTCTGCAACTAAAGACGGAGCCCTTCAACTGGATTTAGTTTTGTGCATCTTAATTTTCTGGTAGTTTTATTGTGTTTTACTTTAATCTGATGTCATCTCGACTTTAGAACCGGTGTAACTTAACGGTGTCATGGCGTTCTCCAGGGTTAAATAAAGGTTGAATAAAGGTTAAACTCGGTGCCTCTGAGGACTCACCACGTCTGGCGGCACTCCGAAGTACTCCAGCACCATCCTCAGAACGTACACGACATCCTCCAGCAGCGACATCGGAGGGATTCTTCCTGCAGCCGCTGACGAATGCTCAGCTCCTGTTTCTGCTGACTGTCCTGGTTAGAGGCCAACACACAGAGGACGAGGATCACTCTCACCATCCACACCTGGACACACACCAGACGCACAACGCTGACGTTCTGCATTCTGCCGCGCCTCAGCAAATTAGTCAAACGTTCCCAGAAGACGTCTTTCAGCGTTTCAGCTCCAAACACCACAGAGGTGGTCGGTTCCTTCATGACTGCACAACTCCTGGTTTTAGTTCTGGTGTGAAGTGTTTCCCTGACTGTTGTTCAGGAAGAAAACTGCCTGAGGCTGACAGCGAAACAGTCGACTGCACGTGAGGAACTGTCAAAATCTACTTTACTGTCAGTGTTTGTACATGTGCAGGGAAATAAGAAAAGCCATTTGTCAGAGTGTACAAAAAGAAAATTTAAATAAACATAAAGAATATAAATAGGCAGGACTTTCTATCCTCTGACTTTGTCTGAGGATCATTATACATTAAATCTGTGTGATTCTCAGCCAAGCTGTTGTGTTTACCTCCTGTGGTTTCTGAGTTTCTGTGTTTTAGCAGCAGCTTGGAAATGAATTGTTTAAGCTTTGAGGCATCAGGCCTCATGTCCACTGTAGCCTGGAAAGAAAGTGAAAGACGCAGGAACACAAATAAGAAGATAACAGGAAAATATTAAAAGTTAGCAAAAACACTAAAAGCATGAATTAGATTATATCAGTTTGACTCAAGCTCTGGATTCTTCTGCAGGTTATTTCTCTGAGTTGTTTTTTATTTTACAATAAACAGCTGCAAACACAAAAACAATATTAATAATATACAAATAAATATATATATATATATGTTTTTTTTATTTCCTACTGAAACAAATACAGAAATGACGACGGTGCGTTTGTCGCAGCTGTTTGCACCAAACAAGCCTGTTCCCACATCCAGAGATATCACTACGACAACAATAACATATAAAACACATATTATTTTGTAGGCTGGAGCATCCTTGCAGCACCACTTCCTGTATATTGGTATTGTAGAAGCATCCTCTTCAGGAAACGTTGTGACACATTTTACTTTTATTGAAAAAAAAAACACGCAGCTCCTTGGATATTACTATTTTGAAAACATTTCAATTAATTGTTCATCTAAACGTATTGTTAATAGCATTTGAACTTAAATTAGAAGTCATTTCAAACTGCAGAGCTGGAGGCCCAAATATTGCTGTTAATGTTTGTTTTATTTATTTTTTTCAATTAAGAAGTCATGTTTTAATTCCTTTTCCAATGAAACAAATACAGAAAGGATGACTTTTGCTGCTTCAAACAAACAAGCGTGTTCCTGAACATCTGTAGATATCACTGTATGAGAGAACAAATATTATTTTGGAGGCTGGAGCATCTCTGGAGCACTTCCTGTATGTGGTATTTTATACGGACAGGTACTTCTTTCTCTTTATTTTATCCCCTTGAGGAAGTTCAGGAAATGTTGTGACACATTTTACATTTATTTAATAAAAAAAACTAACAAACATGCAGCTCCTCGGATATTACTACTTCAATAATATCTCTGTTAACTGTCCAGCTGCAGGTATTATTATTAAAAGTAATTTCAAACTGCCTTCTCGTGACCAGCTGTCACCTGGCTGCAGCCTGCTGCTCACCTGTCCCCATCGCTGCAGGTAAATCAGCACTTTTGGCTGCACGCTGAACTTTGGTGTTGTGATGCTGAGCCTCCTCTGAGCAGTGCGGACACACGAGCGCCGCAGTGACAAACCCGCAGGGACACACAGAACCGGCACCAGCCCGGCCGGCACCGGACACACACTTACCGGCGACCGTTGATCTGGAAGAAGCAGCCGCTACATGGATCCCCGAATCCTCCCAGGATTTAGTGAAATAAACAGAAAGTGCAGCTAAAACTCGCAGCTTCCCTCTTGTGCTCCCATGCAGCGACTCTGAAGTCAAATAACGCTGCAGCAGCAACGCCTCCTCTGATTGGCCGAGGACACAGAGGGAAGCCCGAGTGGCCAATCGGAGCCGGCGGCCTTTCAGCGTCAGCAACGGCCGCTCGGCCAATTGCGAAAGTGGTGCACCAAATTTGTATTTTAGCACGCGAGCTACTTCTCCTTCTGTTTGGTAAGAAAACACCGACAAACTAAGTTTAACCGCTTCTGTGGCGTTTTTTATGACTTTTACAGCAATTTAGTTAAAGTGATTTAATCTAGTTTTAGTTCGAACGGTGAAAAAGTAAACAGAAATGTGTTTGTGGAAGTTTTTTTTAATCGTCGTAGCGTGAATAAAGTCGTCAGGTAGCTTCTTTAGCTAACCGCTAGCGCGCTGGCTGACAGGCTAGCTGACAGGCTAGCTCTCGTTTAGCTTTCAGGACACATCTTCATCTCTGGTTTGGAATTATTGATTTGTTTTTGGTTATTGGTGCTTTTTAAACAGAGAGTCTGCTGCAGAGGAAGCTATTTTCACCACTGACTTTTTTCTTTAACTGCATTTGTTCACTCTAAAGTGGAGTTAGCTTCTCTAACAGGCCAGTAGTGATGTGTGTGCAGATATGAGTGGAATAAACCTTTAAAGCAATAACTTGGTGGTTATAGAGTCCTGTTTAGGTGGAATAAACCTTTAACTGCATAAGTACCTCCTTTACTTGTGCATGTTAATATTGACATGCAGTCTTTTTTGGTGTTTTGTTAACTTTATCTTGTTCTGTTGTTTCCAGACGTCCTGATTTTGGTGTTTGTCAAAGCACTTTAACTCTTGTCTTTAATAGGACTATAAATAAAGCTATCCCCATTATTATTATGATATAATACATTACAAAAATGGCACCGCTACAGATATTTTGCTGTGAAACTGAATGATCCCCTTAATAACATTAAAACTTGGCATGACTGAAACATATTTAGATTTTAACAAACAGACTTGCAGCTGATTAACTGACATTTGGGGACATTTGTGGCGTTACAGCTGCAAAAGGGACTAAAGCAGTAAAATGTAGAAACAGTAATAAAAACAAGATATATACATGGTTGCTGATGATATTATGCAGATTCCTCTAAATGTGGAGAATAATAATATTGCACATAGTTGTTCTACATGTAGAAACACTTTGGTGTTGGATGCTTATCCTGAAAAAAACTCCAAACAGCTGGAAGCAACAAACTAAACTTGAGCTCCTGGTCATGTTTTGATCGTCCATCAGTTAAAGGTACAAACCGTGTGTTTTGCTGCACAACCTGCTGCCGTTACCGTCATCTAATGTTGCATTCACTGACATTTTAGAAAGTGGAGTTTCAGTACATGACTGTCTGCTGGTAACTGTGGTGCTGCTTTAAGCCGAGCGGTAACAGAACCACTGATCGGTCTGTAAACGTGCCTTCCAGTTCCAGGTGCGGTGACGTCAGCCGAGATGATGGACGCTCTGTCGGTGGTGAGTCAGCTGAGGGATCTGGCCTCGGAACCGCAGAACCGAGAGGTGATAGTCCAGGACCAGGGCTGCCTCCCTGGGCTGGTTCTCTTCCTGGACCACCAGAACCCAGACGTGCTGTTTGCAACTCTGCAGGTGAGTGAAGAGAAAGGAGACCTCAGCAGTAGAGCTTGTTATTAACTTCATTTATCCAGGTAGGTCATTTAGACTGAGCTGTCTTTTCCAAAAGTAAGCAGGAAATGAAAAGTCGTATTTATTTACGTCTCCTTTCATCAGAACACAGATTGATCAACGTTTCTGTGAATGTCCCACTTTAACCCAAAAGTTAAACATTTAGTTTTACGCCAACTTGTGTGTTTACGTCTCCTCTTTCTTCAGACGCTCCGTTATCTGGCCGAGCTGCCTCCCAACATCCCCACTATGAAGAATGAACTGGGAATGATGGTGAGCTTGGAGAATCTGATGGCGAGGTGAGGACACCTGTGGCTGCTTCATGTTTTCCTAATGTATGAGCATTGTCACGTGGCTGTATGTGAATTTTGCAGTCAGGCAGTTTGCTGCATAAATTCCATGTTTTATGCATTTAATGTTGAGGTTTATTATCCAGATGAAGCAGCAGTTTCACTTCATAGTTAAAAGTTTGTTATGGTAAATAGTCTATATTTCGCTTCTTGGTTCCTGCTTTCCTTCACTGGTAGCTGCTTTTTTGAGGACGTTAAAGATCTGCAGATTTGAATTTGTGTAATTCTGGACAATTTTTAAAACATTTTGGACATTTTATGTAATTTTCAATCTTTGCTGGAGGTGGAGTGTTACTGTGACCCATCGAGACACAAGGAAGACATTAAACAGTCCAACTTCTTTTAATTTGGTTCCTGTTTTCCTTCAGTGTGTGTTTAAATGCTTTTGTCCTTGTCAAAACTTGAGTCATTCTGGACAAGGTTTTTGTCATTTTAGATTTTTTTTAAAAATGTTATTTTGGACAAATTTTGATAATTTAAAGTAATTTCAGGAGAAGTTTTTGTCAAAGGTGGAGACTGCAAAGTTATCATGACCCATAAAGACACCAGGAAGACGTGGTTCCTCTTTTCCTTGAGTGGGTTATAAAGCTGCTTCTGTGTTCTGCAATACAAAGTGGTGTTTATCCATCTTTAACTCCTGAAATGTGTGTTTTTTTTATACATATATTTGGTAGAAGTGTCAGTATTTACACCCCCACTGAGGTGTTTCATCCTCATCATACTATTTAGTTTCCAGCTCATAAATGTGTCAGCGTGCAGCAGCTCTTGATGGTGATGTTCAGACTTCCATCATCTCTCCCTACAGAGAGGGTCTGTCTGTGGACATCACCGCTTTGGCTCAGGAGGTCTACGACATCCTGAACGCTCCCGCTAATCCTCCGCCTCGTTCACCCGAGAGGCAGAGGAGGAAGAAGTCCCAGTTCTTCATCAACTCCACCAATAAGAAGGCCAAGTCCATCACGCTGCACATCCGAGGCCTGGACAGCTCCGTGAGTGGATTCATTCATGAACACGTGTCTCATTACCGCCAGCATGTTGACTAATGCAGCCTTTCTGCGTTGTGCAGGACCAACGGGGTTTGTGTGAGGAGGCTCTGCTGAAGGTCAGAGGCGTGATCAGCTTCACCTTCCAGATGGCCTCCAAGAGATGCACGGTCCGGATCCGCTCAGACCTTCCTACAGAGGTACCCAGCACCAGGACTGATCTCATAGGATGCTCTGTTTTCAGCAGACTAGTGTTACTCAGGGATCTTATTTACTTTTCCAAACCCCTGATGGACCTGGTTGAGACTCAGGAGGTTTGATTTGTCTCGTTCTCATCCAGACAGTGAGATAAGTCAACAAGACATAACGAGGAGTAACGAGCTGTGGACCTGAAGGAAGTAAGAAAACCAACTTTCTTCTCTTCATTTGCAGAGTTTGGCGACGGCCATCGCTGCCACGAAGGTTCTGTCGGCCCAGCAGGTGGTGAAGAACGAGGCCGGAGAGGAGGTGAGAGACTCTTTAGATGGAAGAACTCAACGGAGGAGGCGGCAAGCGAAGCCTGAACGGTTAATCAGTTTAAAACCGATATGAAACAGAGCAGTTAGCTGCAGTAGAGATCCACGTTCTGCTGAACATCTGGCCCACAGTTGATCTCTATTACTGATCCATGAAAGGTCCAACCGGTTTCAGTTTGATTATAGGAAGCTCCTTCTGTTTTATCAGCTACTTTATTTGTTATTTAACGTGCCACAGCTTTTGTGAT